CGGAGGCGGCGCTGGAGGCTGAGGCTGCGGGCCTGGAGCCGGGCACGTTCAGAGTGGGGGTCCACCAGGTCCTGGGGGGGGCAGAGGCATCCCATAATCCCCACCTGGGTCCTCCAACATCCCATAATGCCTCATGCTCCCTCTAAAATCCCGTGATGCCACAGGATCCCCACCTGGGTCCTCCAACATCCCATAATGCCTCATGCTCCCTCTAAAATCCCATAATAGCACCGGACCCTCACCTGGGTCCTCCAACATCCCACGATGCATTGGGATCCTCTAATATCCCATAATGCCACGGGACCCCAACTGGGTCCTCCAAAATCCCATAATGCCTTACGGTCCTCTAAAATCCCATAATGATACGGGATCCCCATCTGGGTCCTCCAACATCCCATAATACCCCCATCCCCTGACATCCCACAATGCTTTGGGGTCCTCCCACCCCAGGTTCTCCAGCATCCCACAGTGCATTGGCATCTCCCAATATCCCACAGTGCATTGGGGTCCTCCCACTCTGGGTCCTCCAGCATCCCACAATCCCATGTGGTCCTCTCACCTGAGTTCTCCAGCATCCCACAATGCACTGCAGTCCACTCCGGATCCTCCACCATTTCACAATGCATTGGGGTCCTCCCATCCCCTGGGTCCTCCAGCATCCCACAATGCATTGCGGTCCCCCCCCATCCCCTGGATTCTCCAGCATCCCACAGTGCACTGCAGTCCTCCCACCCCTGGTCCTCCAGTATCCCACAATCCCATGGCCCCCCCCCAATGCTGCTCACCTGCAGACAGATGTGGACGTGGATCCCGGTCCCTGCGGGAGCCCCCACCCATCCAGGCCCCACTTCCGGCCCCGCCCCCTGGGGGAGGAGCTCCACGGGCCCCGCCTGTGCCAACGCCTGGAGTGTGGGGCTCAAATCCAACATGGCGTCCTGCAGCGCTGCTGGGCATCGCACTGCCACTATGGGGGACAGGGAGAGAGCCTCAATACCCCCACTTCCGGTGGCCATCTTGGGCTTTGACACCCCCATTTCCGGTGGCCATCTTGGGCCCTGATGCCATGACTTTCAGTGACCACCTTGGGCTTTGTCCCCGCCACTTCTGGTGGCCATCTTGGGCTCTAATATCCCACTTCTGGTGGCCATCTTGGATTTTGATACCCCCACTTCCTGTGGCATCTTGGGCTTCAACACCCTCCACCCTGTCAGCCATCTTGGGCCTTGTTTTACCCAATCTTGTCAGTCATCTTGGGCGTCAATACCCCCATTTCTGGCCGCCATCTTTGGTCCCAACTCTCCCACATCCATTGGCCATCTTGGGCCTCAACGCTTCCACTCCTGTCGGCCATCTTGGGCCTTGAAGCCTTGACTTCACATCAGCCACCCGAGGCCCTGACACTCCAACTCCACTCAGCTATCTTGGGCCTCAACTCCCACAATTCCAATGGCCGCCTCGAACCTCAACACCCCCCATCCCCCCACATCCCCGTTGGCCACATCAGCCCTCACCCCCCTTCCCCTCCTGTCGGCCATCTTGGCCACTCACCACGCGGCCGTGCAGCACCGAGGCGGAACGCATCCCTCAGAGCCCTCACAGTCCTCACCACCTCCCTCATGGCCTCCACTTCCGCCTCCACTTCCGGGCAGAGCCAATGGGCCTGGAAAGGGGGGGAAACTGAGGCACGAGATGGCGAGGACGGGCACCCGACAGCCCCAAGGGGCCACGTGCGGCACCCACCAACATGGCGGCGGAGGGGAACGGAGCGAGGCAGAGGGTGGGGGGTGCCGGGGGGGCACGGGGAAGGCGGTGCCATAATTCTTCAGCCAAGAAGGGGGAGAGCGGAGCGAGGAGACGGAGGCCCAACTCGGCGCAGCTCAGCAGCGTCTGCAGCGTGGTGGGATCCGGGTCAGGGCGGCGGAGAGAGGGTTTGACGGCCTCCTGGGGACAGAAGGATGAGGTGAGGGTGTGGGGATGGACAGACAGACGAATGGATGGGCACTGAGGTGGGGAAGGGTTGAGGGGATGCAAGGAGAGGACAGATGGACCGATGGAAGTCGAGGGGGGGGGAGGATGGAGATCTGGTTGGGTTGGATGGACAGATGGACACGTGATCGATGGTAGACAAAGTTCAGTGACGAGTGGGATGGACAGACGGACGCGGTCAAGGAGGGTCAACATCAAGGAGATGCAGTGTTGGGTGGGATGGACAGATAGACACGGTGAAGGATGATTAATGTCAAGGAGATGCAGTGTTGGGTTGGATGGACAGACGGACAAGGTCAAGGATGATCAATGTCAAGGAGATGCAGTGGTTGGGTGGGATGGACAGACGGACAGAGTCAACAGCAGAAAAAGGTCAACAACGAGTGGGATGGAGAGCTGGGCACAGTCAAAGAGATGGGACAGGTTGGGTAGGACGGACAGATGGACGCGGCGGATGGTAGATAGAAGTCAGCAATGAGTGGGACGGACAGATGGACGCGATCAAGAGGGCTCAACATCAATGAGATGCAAGAGAGTGAAGGGGATGTGGACACAACGCCGGGGGCAGAACAGAGACAACCAACAAGGACGGACGGACGGACGGACAGACAGACGCGCCACCAACCAAGTAGACGTCGCAGAAGGACCTGAGCCAGAAGTGCTGCGCAGCAGCCGTGGCCCCGTGCACCTCCAGAGCTTCCATCCTCTTGCCAAATTCGCCCACCGCCCGCGCCAGGCGGCTCAGCACCCACCGGTCCATGGGAGCGCGTGGGGCCGTCTGCCAACAACGGGGAAAATTGGGGGTTTTTGGGGGGGGGGGGGAAGAGCGGGGAGGGAAGATGGAGATGGAGACCCCCCCCAAGTTCACAGCCACCACCACCCTACCCTGGTACCTCCTCGGGGGGTCGAGGGACGAAGCGGGGACCGAGGGCGGCGAGGACGAACTTGACGGCATTCCAGACTTTGTTGCAGAAGCGGCGCTGGTTCAACACGGCGGCCACGTCCAGGCGGATGTCATCACCTTTTATTTTTGAGGTTGGGGGGGAAGGAGGGGCAACGGGTGTTGGTTGGGGGGTGGGGGGGATGTTGGGGACCCCCTCCTGTGTCCCCTCTTGAAGTCCTCACCGTGAGCATTGTGGGAGCACAGCGCAAGGCGGAGGGCATCAGTGCCGCATTCGGGGATGCCGTGGGGGAACTGGCGCTTCTGGGGGGGGAATGTGGGATGTTGGGGGGGACCCCAAGGGTTTCGGGTGACACCGCGGGGCCCGGGGGGGGGACATGGGGGTCTCACCTGTCCCTCTGAGGCCACTGCCAGCTCATGGGGGTCGAGGATGGTGCGGCGCAGCTTCTCCTGCAGCTCCTGCAACACAGGAGAGCCTACAATAACAAAGGGGTTTTTGTGGGGTGGGGGAGACCCTACAAGAACAAAGGGGTTGGTTTGGGGTGGGGGAGACCCTACAAGAACAAAGGGGTTGGTTTGGGGTAGGGGAGACCCTACAGGAACAAAGGGGTTGGTTTGGGGTGGGGGAGACCCTACAAGAACAAAGGGGTTGTTGTGGGGTGGGGGAGACCCTACAAGAACAAAGGGGTTGTTGTGGGGTGGGGGAGACCCTACAAGAACAAAGGGGTTGTTGTGGGGTGGGGGAGACCCTACAGGAACAAAGGGGTTGGTTTGGGGTAGGGGAGACCCTACAAGAACAGCAGGTTGTCACAATGATTATCGTTCCTACCCCACCTATATGGGATCTGTTAGTCATTATAGGGTCCCCCAAACCAAACCTGCTCTTTGTAGGGTCTGCCCTACGCTGTTTGTTATTGTAGGACCTACCTGAAGCGACGCCCCACCAATGACGTCCCGGGGGTCAACGACGTTCCCCAGCGATTTGCTCATCTTCCGCCCCGCCGCGTCGCGCACCAGCGAGTGCAGCAGCACCTGGGAGCAACGGGGTGGGGGGATATGGGGACAGCGACCCCTCCAGGGGACTTTTGGGGGAGAATTTGGGGTATTTGGGGTACCTGGGAGAAGGGCAGGTGGCCGGTGAGCTCCTGCCCCAACATCACCATGCGCGCGACCCAGAAGAAGAGCAGATCGCTGCCCGTCTCCAGGAGGGTTGTGGGGTAGAAACGACGCAGATCGGGGGTCTGGGGGGGACATGGGGGGGTTACAGGGTGTCCCCATGTTGTCCCCATGGTGTCCCCATGGTGTCCTCACCTCCTCGGGCCACCCCAGAGCGGCGAAGGGAAAGAGAGCGGAAGAGAACCACGTGTCCAGGACGTCGGGGTCTGGGGGAAACGAGGGTCAAAAATGGGGTTGGGGTCCTAAAGGGAGAAATGAGTGGG